CTTCTAATTCTGCAATACTCTTTCTTTCTTTCTTTCTTTCTTCTTTCTTTCTTTCTTTCTTTCTTTCTTTCTTCCGGCCCTCCTCACCTCCTCCCTTCTGCTGTCAGTCTTTCTCCCAGACTGCAGGCAGGTCTTATGGTCGCCTGTGTGTTTTTTTAAGTTGCTATTTTAGCGGTAACAATATCTGCTTGATCAGTAGCACTGGGTAGGAGCAGGAGTTTGGGGGGGGGTCATGGGAGGGAGAGGGTGGTAGGGGTTCACAAAGGCCTCTTTTCATTCATAAATTATTGACCACTGCGGAAGACATCACTCTCTCTTTTTCATAAATACTGTAAAACGGCCCTCCTCATTTTTTTCAATACTACCAATACAAAAGTTGATTTTTTTAAAATCAGTTTTAAAGACAGTCAAAATAGACTCAAAAACAGAATAATATGACATAACAGAGAGTGTTCCAAGTGTATCTTAGTAAGGCACGAAGCGCTATCCCCCCAGGTCCCACAGGTGAAATACATACATACTGCATGTGTCTCAGAAGGATACTGGTATGAGAAAAAGTCCCTATTCCACTGTGTGCAACATAACGAGATAGCAATTGCAGACATGTCTAGTGTGAAGCTGTTATGGTGTCATTTATTTTCTCTACATCAGCATTTATTTCTTGGCATAGCCAAAGTTTGCATTTTCCAATAGCATCTGCCATGCTGTAGCTTCTGACTGCAGGGGACCAGTGATCTGACAAAAATCAAATCTTCCAATGTCCTCCTCACGTCCCCTGATGGTTGTAGACTGAGCTTTAAGATACAGCCTTTCCAAATACTGGAATGGTCCCGTTGGTCCAACCCCAGGGGACTACAGGAGGCCGGAAGGAAGAACAGGAAACTTGTTAAAAGAGAAGATTTAAGGTCGCCTGTCCCACAGGAGCGGCAGCTATAAGGAGACGACGGGGGTTGGGAGGTTTTAGCATACCCAATGTCTGCTCATCTACTTGTTGCTTTGATGAGGGATGAAAGGCTGTCATGAAGTACAAGTTTACAGAGCTCCGGGCAATGATAGACTCAACTGTCCTCAACAACATTTCCTCTTCCTTGTACTTCTTCATCCACACTCAAGGAATTTAAAAAAAACGTACATTTTTTTCACTGTTTCAACATTTAACTGAAATTCTCACTCTGACCAAGTAGAGTACACTTTCTTATGAACACCGACAAAGACATGTAACTGTTGACAGATGGACACTGTTGCATGGATCAAGTGTCTGCAACACCCACTAAACCAGTAGAATAGATGTGTTTTTCAACTTCCGTCTATCTCTGCCTTTCTCCATCTCACCCTCCTCTTCAAACCGCCGCTGATGAAGCAGTAAAGAAAAGCAAAAATTGCCTCCACCTCTTCTGTAGTTTTTCATTTTCAAGCAAGTTAACACAGCCTGATTCGCATTTGCGAGCACTTTGGGCATTCTGCAGGAGAAAGAGCAGGTTGTGTTTAAGTCTTGTTTGAGGACGATCAGGGTAAAAGCCTTTTTTATTGGCAGGTCATGCTGCTTGTTAAGACGTTGGCGCAGGTGACTAGGCTGTGCTGTTAGCCTCGGTGGCCCCGAACTAACACCGTTGTTGTTTCACAAGTTGGCAACAGTCAGTCAAATCAGCAGGGAGAGAGAGAGAGAGATTGAAATGCAGAGAGGAAGTGGGAATGAGAGACAAAGAAA